CAAACACTTATTCGGTATGGTGTGGTGCTTGACCAACGCATCAACCTTGTACACGAGCATTTGCCTCGGCGGCATCTCCAATATGCAGTGGTGATGCTCAAACATGTATTTCCCGAATAACTGCCACATTTGGAAATAAACAGCCTGGTCGGAAGTCAATCCTGGCGCGACGTGGACTTGTTCGAGCGGCTCCTCGAAAGTCGGTAAATCAACGGCAGACAGCAGCATATTCACAATGTCGCCGTCTTTCTGTGCCCCCAGGAAGTCCGCCGACTCCTTGTGGGTCTCCAGGCGCGTGAGATTGTTCCCCCCCAAAATCCCCCACCCCAGGGCACCCGAACCGGGAATTTGACCCCCCCTGGCCTCGGGAAGTGATGCGCTGGCGGCTGACGTCCCTCCACCGGCGGCACGTGGTACGACGTCCCCGTCTTGGGCGGCCCGATATGGATCGGAGCGGTCGGCTTTCCCAAGGGTCCCGCTGTGCGCCTGGTGACCGATGGACTGGTAACCGTCTGGTCTGGGTCCTGGACCAGGGCCCGAGACCGCGGGTGAACTGTTGGACTCGGTCCAGGACTCATCCTCATAACGCCAACTGCACGGCTTTCAGCATCCTCGCCGGCATCGCTGTTCTCTGCGGGCCCCAGAGACTCCTCCGCTTCAATCTCCTTGAGGGTACTTTCTGATGACGTCGACTGCTCTGATTCGGCAGGTGGCTTCCACAACTCGACCAGGCTCCATGCCTGGCAGCCTCGCAGGGCAACCACCAGCGGCCAAGAAAGTACAGCCGTGCTCACGAAAATGGCAGGAGGATGAAAGGGGGGAGGGAGGAGGAGGAGGAGGCGGAGGAGGAGGATATGATAATGATGATGAGGAGGAGCAGGAGGATGAGGAGCTAGAGAGGAGAGAAGTCATACCAAGCTAGGTGCGCTCGAACACTGTCTGACATCGTATTCCTCCACTCACATGACAACCTTGCGTTTCCAATCGTGTATGTGTGGTGTCATCAGTGTCGCGTCGCGGTCAGTCATAACTTTGCATATGTTGTTTGTGAGTCAGGTGGAACAACAATTCTAAAGATCCACGGGCGCGTGGTGTTCTATACCGTGTGAACATAATGAACATACTACGCGTAAGCTCACGACTGCAGTTCTGATTGGTGTTGAAATATGGTGTATATATAAGATAATGTAACTTAATTTGGTCACGTGACCAGTTTTGGTCACGTGGCCATTTTTGGTCACGTGACGAGCGTGACCAAAGACAGGTCACGCAAGCTGCCGCGGGGAGTTGCCGAGGGCGGCAGCGGCGGCCGCCACCGCCGCCGCGCCAGCGGCCGCGGCGGCCGCGGCGGCCGCGGCGGCGGCGTCGTCGCCGGCGGCCGTGGGAGCGGCAGCGCAACCGGCACCGGCCGCGCGCGCGGCGCCGGCGGCGCCAGCCGCCGCAGCCAAGCCAGGGGGGCCGCCGCTGGCGGCAGGCCCGGGCGCGGCGGCCCCGTCTAGAAAGGCGCCAGCGCCGCCAGCAGCAGCAGCAGCAGCGCCCGCGGGGCCAGCGGCCTGCGCGGCCCGCCGCTGCCGGCGGCGGCGCGCCGAGCGCGACACCGAGGCGCAGGCGCCGCGAGGCGGCCGGGTCTCCGCGGCGGCGGCGGCCCGCGGGGCGACAACGGCGCCCGCCATGGCACGGGGAGGAGGGGGCAAGGAGGAGGCGCCCCTTCTGGGCCCCCCCCAGGCTGCGCCGGAGGACGGGGCCGACCTCTGGCCCCAGGCGCGCAGCTGGCTCGGCTCGGCTTGACCCAGAGCGGCTTGAGCCAGGGGCTACGGACGCTGGTGGGGATTCGCGCAGCGTCAACAATTGCGTTGCAAAGGTACTGCGCCTGAAAATTGTATTGCGTCGTATTGCAAATGATGGATTGCACGCGGAAGTCCAGCAATACATCTGCGTCCCGGAATGTATCGCACGCCCCCCAAATGTACTGCAACCCCATACATACATTGCACCCAATCTACTGCACCGCCCCCTTGTCGCTGGACCCCCTTTTGGGTCAACCTGACAGAAGCAGGGGTGCTTCTAAGAACTGGCTATCGCTCGGACGTCCGTTTCCTGTGTTTTTTTCGGTTTCGTGCGTGTTTTTTTCGCCAAATGATCAAGGATGCTCCTCGATGGTCCCCGGCGAAGGAAAGATGCACACGTCCGAGCGATGCCAAGAGAAGCCTTCCCCCTCCCGCTGCCCCCCTCTGGGACGGAGGCTCGGCCCCGCCGGGGGGGAGAGGGTCGAGGTCTGCGGGGGCCCGTACGGGCCCTGAAAAAGACCTCGGGCCCAAATCTGGCGGGAGCAGGCCTGGAAAACGACGGCCGCGGCGCCCTCTCGAGAACCGAAAAACGGACAGTCCACTAATCGACGTGTCACTATTGGGGGTTCTGCATGTCCACCCCCGAGTGAGGGCCCTGAAAACGACCTCGGGCCCGGAAGCGAAAGCGGGGTAGGTAATTCACGCTCTGATTTTGGGTCAACCCGAAAGAAGCAGGGGTGCTTCTAAAAAGCCTTCCCCCTCCCGCTGCCCCCCTCTGGGACGGAGGCTCGGCCCCGCCGGGGGAAGAGAGGGTCGAGGCCTGCGGGAGTCCGCGAGGGCCCTGAAGACGACCTCGGGCCCAAAGCTGGCGGGCGCGAGCCTGGAAAATTGCGGCCGCGGCGCCCTCTCGAGAACCGAAAAACGGACAGTCCACGAATCGACGTGTCAGGGTGGAGGGTCTGTCCACCCCCGAGAGAAAGGCCTCCGGGCGCGGCCAGAAGCAGGGTGATCGTTTTCTGATTCGGCGTCTCGGCATTGGGCGGACGGGAGGGGGGGAGGGGGGGCTGGGTCTGGTTCCGGACCTCTGCTTCACGCGACCGTTTGCAACAGTGCGTGCTATGGGGGAGGGACTCCACCTGCTCGAAAAAGGCGCCCAGAACAGCCAAGACCTACTCCAGGGGGGGGGAGAGGGCGGTAAAGGCCCGCGCCGATCGGCAAAACAATGACTACAAAACGATCATCTCCGGAGACCTCCATGGGCCAGAGACTTCCGGAGACTTCAGATCCCTGCGCCAGGGGAGGGCCTCCATCCAGTCAGCCAGAAGCAAGAATTGACAGATCCCCCTGATGTTTCACTACGTTTTTCTGCTCGCGACGTCGGCAGCTGCAGCTTTGGGCCACCCCTCGTCACCAACCCATGCCAGGCTGGTCGCATTGGCGGTTGGCGTGACCTGCTACGGCCTGGGAACCAAAGCGACGGTCGACAACTGTCCTTGCAAAACGTGCACGCGTGCATCACCTCTGGACGGCCGCGGACGGCTTCTCCGTCAGCGCCAGATCCCGTCGCCGCACCCCTCCCGCCCATGGGAGTGGTGGTGGTGTGGGGGGTCCGGCGCAATCGGAGAGGCATGGAGAAGCTGCCCGCGGGCGTCGGCAATCTTTTCTCACGTATGCGGTACGTGCTTTCTCGCCCCCTCGGCCTCGTCCGAGGTGTCCTCCGAGGGGCCGATGCGCACCAGCGCGGAGAAGTCGAGCAGGTGCGGCTCCATCACGCGGGCGGGGGCCCTGTACATGGGCGACTCGATCGTAAGGCCGCCCGCCGTCTCTAGAAGAAGACAAAAAAGGCATAAGCATAAACGTTTGGCGGTCCGCGCGGATTTCTTGGATCTGCGCTGGACCCGCGTGCCTGGCGCGCGGAGCGCGCCAGGGGCGGCGCCGGAGGCGCCGCCGGGGGGTGCCCAGCGCGGATCCGAGACAGCCGCGCGGAGCGCCGATTGTTTATGTTTATGGCGTTTTTTCTCCTTCGAGTCTCGAACTGGGCGGTCCCCTGGGTGGGGTCCACCTGCAGCCTCAGGGAATCGATCGTCCGCTGGTTGAGGTCCACGTCCGTGGACCCGGAGTCCACGAGGGCGCGGACCACGGCCCGCGTGTGCGCGGCCTGCGGGTTGGAGATTTCCAGGGGCACGTGCATCGTGCCCTGGAGCTCGCTTGCCCCGTCGTCCGCCGGGCACGCACCCTCTGGCGGCGCGAGCAGGCGGCGCTGGCGGCAGTCCACCAGCAGGCCCAGCGCCGCCAGAGCCCGATAGCCGAGCACCGCCTCGTCGGAGTTGGCGCTCAGGCCGAATTCCGCGTCCGAGCCGTCGCTGCCAGCGTCGCTCCCCGAGCCGTCGCCGTCCCCCGAGAGGCTCACGCGCACCACGGCCTCCCGCCCAAGCGCGCGGACCGCCGCCACGAAGACGGGCTGGGCGGCCAGGCGGCCGTCGGCCATCTCGTAGCTGGCGACGGGTGCGTCCGGGTCCGCTGGGAGCCCCAGCGCGCTGGCCACCCGCGGGGCGAGGTCGCAGTCGGTGCTCCCTGTGTCCACCAGGGCCCGCACCGTCGCGCGCGCGCCTCCGCGCTGCGGGTGCGCAAACTCCACCACCGCGTACGTCAGGCCGTCGAGCGCCTCGTGCAGGGCCAGGTCGTCGGAGCCGCCATCGGCTTCGCCCCCGGGGCCGCCGCGGGGCGCCTCCTCGTCGCCGCGCACGGCCTCGGCGTCCCGGATCGCAGCCAACCTCGCGCGGAAGCCGCTGGCTCTGGCGACGCGGCGCGCCGCGCGCAGCGCGGCCTGGCGGCTGCCGCGCGCGGCTGTCGCTGCCAGCCGCCACTCGCGCAGGATCGCCGTCTCCTCCGGCCCAGGGTCGCCAGGCAGCGTGCCGTTGTGCAGGGCCAGGCGCCGCTGGACCTCCGCGGCGGGAGCCGCGCCCACTAGCGATGAGCGCGCGGGCGAGACCAGCAGATAGGCGGCCCAGCCTTCTGCGCCGTCGTTGGCGTTCGGGCGCATCCACGCATCTGGGCCCGCCCTGGCTCGGGCCACCTCGCAAGGGTCGCGCTCGGGGGACAAGCTTGAGCAGATCTTCGGCACGCGCCGACGCTTTGCCGAGGCAGGGGCGCGGACATGCCGCAAACAAAATGCAGCGGCAAGCAAGGACGCATGCAACCGCGGCGCTGGTC